TTTTAACTGCCAATAAGTGACAGTGAAGAATAAAGTGATTACTAGTACAGTTTGGGGCCCCTGCCTTTATTCATGATAAGGTGTCAGGAATTTTATTCATCATTGCTTTTGTTCCATGAGTACAAACGTCAACAGTGAAAAATTTTTAACTGCCAATAAGTGACAGTGAAGAATAAAGTGATTACTAGTACAGTTTGGGGCCCCGCCTTTATTCATGATAAGGTGTCAGGAATTTTATTCATCATTGCTTTTGTTCCATGAGTACAAACGTCAACAGTGAAAAGGGCAAATAACATTTTCCTATTATTACAAAAACAGTTTTGACCTCATAGAACCCCTGAAAGGGTCTTAGGGAAACCCTAGGGGGTGTCCATAGCTCACACATTGAGAACTACTGAATTATCTTAAAAATATAATTCTGAGGGGTGTCCATAGCTCACACATTGAGAACTACTGAATTATCTTAAAAATATAATGCTGAGAGAGAAAAAACACACACTCAAAAGGTTATATACCAACCCTAGGGGGTGTCCATAGCTCACACATTGAGAACTACTGAATTATCTTAAAAATATAATTCTGAGAGAGAAAAAACACACACTCAAAAGGTTATATACTATAAGATTCATTCATATAAAAATTTAAAAACAGGCAAAACTAAACTATATTGTTTAGCGAGGCATACTTAGTTGATAAAACACACTGGAAGATTCTAACACACTTCTCTCAGTAACTGATAGATCAAGCAGATAAAAATTAGTAAGACTTAGAAGATTTAAAGAACATAGTTAAAAAGTTTAATCTCATAGCCATATATATAGAAGCCTACACCCAACAATAACAGTATAACCATTCTTTGAAAATCCATATAGAACACTCATAAAAACTGACAATGTACTACACAAAGCAAGTTTCAACAAAAACAAGGAACAATATTACATGGACAATATTCTTTGGGATGCAATTACCTTAAAAATCAATAATAAAAAGACAACTTTTAATAACCAACATTTGGAAATTTTAAAAGTACACTTTTAAATGGTTCATGGGTTAAAGAAGAAATCATAATAGATATTGCAAAATATTTAGAACTGAATAATAGAAATACTACATATGGGAACCCGTGAGGTAAGCAAACAGTATTAGGGAGATGTTTGCAGCTATGAATGGTTTTATTAGGAAAGAAGATGAAAACTAATGACTCTCAGGTCATTTAATTTACTTAGAGTGTTTAGAGGTCAGACAGAATAAATCTAAGGAAAATATAAGGAAAGAAGAACATAACATAACCTGTTAGCAACCTAACTTGTTTCAACAAACTGATGTTACATCTTATCCAACTCCAAAGCGCAGTACATACCGTTCACAATGCTAGCAACTGTGGCTCTCCCCAGCCCCATTCTGTTACTTAACAAGACTTCTTCAGAGTCAAGTGCTCTCTGACTAGAATCTTAGGTAGGAACCCTTTCTCCACCTGACTGATTGAAGAAATGATCTTTCCAAACTCCAACCTCTGTAGTGACCTTAATACTCTGAGAAAAACTCAGATTCTCCTGTAAATACCATGGACGATGTGCTTTGCAAATGAACTCAGAAATTCACTCAGGTTGTACCTGAGCTCAGTTGGAAAAAATCAAACAAACTCAGTAAAAGTTACCTGCAAAATCTCAGAATTATCATGGGGAATGACTGCAAATAAACAGTCCTTTCTTTCACTCCTTCTCGTTTACAATCACAGTATCTTTTCTATTTATCTCCTTCTCTCTCCTGCTTGCTGCTATCTACAATGTCCAATGTGGGGAATGAAGCTGAAGACTCTGGCTGAGAAACAGCTCACTCTTTCCCACGTTCCAGGTCTGCACAACTGTTTGGTTGTGCCGCTACACTTCTGGTCCTTCACAATTCGCTGCACTGGGCTTCACCCAAAACTGATCCATCTCTCAAATCTTAGCTGTTGACATTTCAATCTGACCACAATCTCTTAATTTTCCAGTTTTCTCACTCCCTCACTCCCATTAACCCTGTTCTTCAACACCATCAAAACCACCAGCCCTTGATCCATCAGTCCCCTCTTGCTCAGACTTCCATTTCTATGAGCCTGGACTCCAGACACAACCACTGAATTACCTCTTGCTGGACTAGCAATGGAGGGACAACATTCCCCTGCCCTCACAGACCTGGAGCAATCTAGTCTGGCAAAATCACACAGCCAGACAAAAGCGAGATCGCCTTACACATGGGCATTCCTTCTCAGCTGGATTCTCAATGCTGCTTTCCAGTTGTCTTCTCGTACCTGGCTTTTCCTTTTTTCCAAGCCTTTTCCATTCTCCTCAAACCACCTTCCCAACCTTCCTTCCTCTTACTCTTACTTTGTATCCTACTTCACAGGGGAAAAAAATAAGGGAGACCATCACACTTGATTGAAACTATTCTGGCAAAGGTCATTAATGAACCGTTCGTTTCTCAGCTTTTCCCATGGCTAGCTCCTCCTATCAGCTAGATTCCAGCTCAAATGCCTCCTTCTCAAAGGGCCCTTCACTGGCCCACTGTGGAAAGCCATTCTCCTACTGACTCTATCCCATAGCCCTGTTTCATTTCCTTATAGGACTTATCATGAAGGCGGGGACCCGGCCTGTCCTATTCAACACACTATCCCCAGCACCTAGAACACAGTAAATGCTCAGTAAATATTCCTTAAATAAACGAATTCCTAAGAGGAAAAGTCCTGATTTATTGAAGTTCTGAATTATTCATAAGCTTCAGTAGCATACTCCTTGCATAAAACTCAACCATCCTTTTCCAATCTCAGACTATTACTTGGCCAACTTCTCTCTCCACTTCTCTTCATTTTCAGTCTAAGTCCTATCTATGCCGACTCCTTCAAATCATTTCCACCTCTGTCTACTATCCCCCAAACCTTTTTTGTCATTCTAGATTTTTTTCAGTATCTGGCTTGCATTTTTCCTCTCTACCTTATCCGTCATTATTTTCAATAACAACTTCTTAGTCACTGACTGCAACATATGTGCCAGCTGCTAACCACAGAACAACCCCAGCCTCAATCTCACCCTGAACTGCTTCCTCCTAAAAACCTCAGCTTTCACCTTCATTCCCCAATGAAGCTGTTCTTGGTCTTCACTGAAACTTCCAAGCTTGTGGCCCCCTCCACTTTTTATTCTTGGATATGCACCTGATTTCTACCATTTTGTTGTCTGTATCCTCCTATTAATGCAACTCCTATTACACTCCCTGGTCTTTCTGCCACATGCTTCCTCCCACCTTATCATGCTCTAGAGTGCCACTCTGTAAGTCTTCGAATACTATTTATTATATTTAAATACAGATTGGATTATTTAAACTTAGCGTGTTAAGATTTAAAGTAAAACAAAACTTGGGTAAGTAAGAGACAATCTTTTTATCTTTAATAGAAACAGTAATGTTAAAAGGATAATGTGGGTATTCTACATTCTCATTTGATTAGAATGAGATGTGTGATTTACATTAATTCCCAGTTAAGACTTCACATGATTATTTAGAAGAAATACTTACATAGATAAGTCCTGAATAGTAGCGATCCTTCAGATTATGTAAAACAGAAGCTTCATTCAAGCATGTCAATTCTGCCATATCCTCCACCTTGGAAAACTTAGGTGGGTTCATCTTCTGAATATCATCTTTGTTGACCATTGCTTTCTTTCCATTCTCTGCCAGCTCCACCATAACTTCATCTCCCCGTTCTTCTTTGATACTAGCTGCTTCAAAACCATGGCGTTCTGATGGAATCCACACTAGCTTTTTAGCCGTCCAATCAGCTTGAGTGGCAGGGTTGTAGATGACAGCCCTGTCCACAAAGAGATACCTCTCTGGATCCTCAAGTCCAGTTCTCTGCGCCATTGTAAACAGAAGGATCCAAGAACAATCGCTTCTAAGAGAAGAGGAGGAGGGCAGAGTCAGATGTTTGAGAAATACAAAATAATTTACAAGTTTTACTTTTCTAAGAAAGTTCAAACAAAACCTTTGGTAAACATACAGCATAAACTTTGAGTTAAGGAGTTAGCATATTCCTCTTCACAGCCATACTAACCAAGTTTCCAAGGTAAATTTCAGGGATGACCACAAATTATGACTCTGGTTGTCTGATGACCACTCAAGATTTGCCCTCAGTTACACAGGGCTGAAAAACAGGTGGAAGAAAAAAGCAAAGTTCCAGGTTGACCTTTTTTTCTCTTTAGCCATACTAACCAAGTTTCCAAGGTAAATTTCAGGGATGACCACAAATTATGACTCTGGTTATCTGATGACCACTCAAGATTTGCCCTCAGTTACACAGGGCTGAAAAACAGGTGGAAGAAAAAAGCAAAGTTCCAGGTTGACCTTTTTTTCTCTTTATCTCTTTCACCCACCACCACAAATTAAACAGGGAGTTAAGAAGGGAAATGAGAAAGAAAAGAAAGATGCATAATGAAAGGTCCATGGAGTGAGACTGGAATTAGTGTGCGCACAGGATACAGCTACAAACACACATGAGGACTGCCAGAAGAGTAAAGAATCAGGTCTAAAACATGCCTGCCATTCTACTTTCAGACAACAGACTCGAAATGCTTCCTTATGAATATCCCAAATCAGTCCCCCCACAGCTTCTCTATGGCTCTGAGTGATCTTAACGTGATTAAATGGGGCCGCATAAGACAAGCATAACTTGGTTTCACCCTACAGCATGTCCAGTATGTTGTGGTAGCTATTCAGACCTCCACCCCCATCCGCAGCTGCTCCTACTCCCCCTGTCTCCTCATCAGCACTCCATTCATTGTACTACCCTGTCCTCTTGCCTCTGAACAGACTTGAATGTGATTATGTCTTCCCTTTAGAGTTTGTCCCAGAAGCAAACATAATATTCCAGATATGGTCTGACCAGTGCAGAAGAAAAAGAAACTGTTAACAGCCTTGGCCACGTTAAGGAAAGTACTGTTCTGTGAGTTTTATAGTTAATGTATCTAAAGTCCTAACTGGTTTATTTAGAACTCATTTACCGTTGGAGCATAAGAAGCTACCAGCAAAAGCTCTGTACATGTTGCTGCCAAGCTACATCTCCTCCGATATTTGTGCAATTGGCTTTTTGGATCAAATGAAAGGATTTTACATTCATCATTTACTTTTCTGATGTGATTTATCATTCCTGCCTGATAATATCTTTTTGGAATCCAATATCATCTTAAACATTTTTGCTATTTCTCCAAATTCCAGGTTATTTCAAAATTCATAGGCATGATTTCCATGACTTCATCCAAATCAACACAGGAAGCCAACTGAATATCTACTCTTGCTCTATCAAATTCCCCCCCAACTTCTCCCCCTCCCTACCCTGGTTTCTTTGTAGGCAAGAGGATAGAAGGAGGGCATCCTTTGCAGCCTGCAAGGGAAATCATAAACTAGTTCTAAGTTGTTAAGAGGTTCTTGAGTCCACAGGTGAATTTCAAGCTCCATGAAATCACTGATATGGTATTAAAACACTGTATACTTAGTGTGTGCATGTGTGTGTTATTCTAAGAAGAACACCCATACCTTTCTTTAGTCTGTGTCCTAAAAAATCCATTACTGATGGTGGGTACAGATACTAGCCCTTTAACCCCTAAAAATAATAATAATAATTTACCAGAATCAAATAATTCTTCAGAAATTATTTGTTACAATGTAATGCATTATAAACACCCATGTTCTAGAGTAGCGGTTCTCAAATTTTGGCATGCATCACCAGCACCTAAAAGGTTCATTAAAACACAAACTGCTGGGTCCCATCCCTGGAGTTTCTGACTCATTAGGTCTGGGGTGGAGCCTGAGAACTTGCATTTCTAACAAGTTACCAGATGATGCTGATGATGCTGGTCCTGGGAGACACTTGACAACATAACTGCTCCACAGTTCTTTGGTTGCCATGGTAAGCCACTGTTACTAGCAGGTATGTTGAGATAGAAAAACAGGTTAAAAACCAGTGTTCTAGACTAGCTCATAACATGATTTACAGAATATGCTAATGTTTTAAATGTTATGGACTTGGATTAAAAAAATCACAAAACGTGATTAATGGTATTAAAACTTCTACAAACAAAACTACTCACATGCTTTGCCTTGATGAAAAGATAATACTACAATTTTTTAAATCAGCAAATACTGTTGCTATATGTCACTAATTATGGCCAGGCACTATTCTAAGCAATTTACATACATCAACTCTTAATCCTCACAACAGCGCTATGAGGTAGGTATATTAATATCTCCATTTTACAGATGAGGAATCCGAGGTACAGAGAAAGCCAATAACCAGCCCAAGGTCACACAGCTAACAAGTAGCAGAGCTGGAATTAAACCTAAAGTTCAGCTCCAGAGGGCATGCTAGAATGATGGAAGGAGAGAGAGGAAATTTTGAAGGGCATGTAGTACACTATATACTACCTCTCTACTAAATAAAACCCTGTCAATTATGACTTAAAGAGCAGGTACAGGCTTAGCCAATGAACATACTAGCACAATCTGGCAAAGGCTTTATATTTTATGGAATACCTATACCTAGGGAAAAAAGGAATAAACAGGAACCTCTTTGCAGCAGACAAAGATAATCTGAAGGTTCTTAGTGTCATTAGAAAAAACTGCCTAATTAAAATTAAATCATGTATCTGTGTATGAATTAGCCCCCTACAGAGCCAAAGTTCTCATCCCCCTCAATTGTTTAAGACACACACACCCCTGGGGCTCCATCCCCCCCCAGGTCATTTTTTACTTCCAATGAAATGCCACCCAGCAAACTTCTCAGCTGCCTCCCAGCACCTACTGTATGTGTGGATAGAAGTAAACAATTCAATTTTATGAATAGCTTGCGTATAGAAAGGCACATAAAAAGGATGGATAAATTGTCCATGATAAAGCATCCCTCTAAAACAGATAAACTAAAATAGAACTGTCCTAATTTGTGTAAGGCTACCGTTCAGGTCACTTACATTACAGGGCTGTGCAAGTCTAATAACTTAACCAAATAACCACAAACACAAACACAAATGCAAAAGGTCACTATTGTTGTTATGGCCAGCACCATCTCCCAATTATCTTTACATTATACTAAATATTTCCAAAAGTTGTGTCCAACACCAGTTATTTTAATTCCTCATATGTGATAACAAAGTACATAAACTGCTCAAGCACAGTCTTCCTCCCTACAACATGCCCTTCAAAATTTCCTCCATCGCACCTTCTATCCAGTCTGTCTTCATTGTAATGATTTCCCTAAGGAGCCCAAATAAAAAGCCAGGCTCTCACAGGTCACATCCCTTTGCTGCAAAAGCTTGTGCTATATCTCACAATTACACCATATGCTTTCTCCAGATAAGGACGGCAAGAACTGAATTTGAGATGCATAAAATGGCCACTTTTCTAGAACCCGAGACAGACAGGGCATACTTAAACATCAAAAGCATGGGACTAAAAGAATAACTAATAAAGGCAGACTGATGAAAGAGATGAAACAATAAATAGATTATAAAGTTTTCTAGAGTGAGATACTATCAACAATTATCAAACCTAACTCAAAAAATCCTCAGTTTCAATGTTAAAAAACAAAATCTCAGTAAAGCCAAATTATTATATTTAGCATTTTATTATTCGGTGAAAACAGCAGTCTTTGTTTCATCTGCAGTCTGGATCTACCCCGCCTGCTTTCGCCTACCCCACCCCAGCCCACCCCACCCCCT